GATCAACGCCAAGTCGGGGTCCCTTGCTGCGAAGCACCAAGCAAATCGCAACTGTGGGCACTGCGCCAATCATCTTGGCAGCTGTGCAGGTAACACAAATGGCTCCAGCAACACTTCGTGAGAACGCTCAGCTTTGCGCGCACTGAGCGCGATGTGAAAACCAAATATGTAATCGCAGCGCGTCACGGAGCAGACATATAACGGTGATCCCCTCGACCTGGCGATACGAAAGGCTGGTACTTCATAGAGTGCCGACGCCCGAATCGTGGGATAAGAATTGAGGAAGGGGGGGTGTGGAGAATCCAACGACGATTGTGAATAGACTGCTGTGTTAAAAGGCGAACGAGAGGATACGCGCAGTCTTATGTTGAAGGTACTGGGGCAAGCGTACACACCAAGATACCGCACGAACGCGCCCATACTTAGCTACATAGCACCAGCACCCGACGTTATCGCACCGCCAGACACATGCACTCCACATACATGCATACATGCATGCATGCATGCATACATACACATATAGATACACCTGGTACGTCTCGCATGGAAAGGCAAGGCACAACTACCATGCTGACATGCAAACCGCACGTAAGCGACGAGTAGCATCACCAAATGCAAGAACGTACGCCCCGAGATCGATTGACAACGCTATGAATGATCGCTCAAGGAACACCGGGAAAGACAATGTCACGGGCTCCATGAAATGCGCAAACACAACCATGCAATTGAAATTTGCAGAATACTTAACAAACATACTTACGTGCAAACAACATTGGAAACCATTAAATGGTCAGAGAAGGACGCATACGGAACATACAAAATCACCAAAGGAATCTGTAAGACTCCATCATAACCACCGCATTCCAAAATACGCACCCGAAACTCAAGTGTCGGCCCCTCCGCTCTGCCTCGAACATTTCTACAAGTTGAGCACGTCAAGATTACCCCAAAGCAGTACAGTTGGCAAACGTGCACAGTGCAAGATCGGATCCCACCAGACCGAGGACACCAAGCACGTGCTAGCCTTACCAATGCCAGTGCGTAGCGCAAAATTGGCTGATCTGCACGACTGCTCAACAAATGTCAGCGCGGCCTCATCTTCACCGCGATCATGGAGCAGAGGTCCGAACCACACCTAGCAAGAGGCAGAAGCAAACCATGCGCAGTGCACACCTCGACAACGACACGCATACATATGAAAAGACAATATCAACCCTAAACGTTAGATTTTGCGACTCAAGGAGCAGATGATGGAATGTCACAACCGATATCCAAAACCAAACACCCGACGCCCGCTATAACTCGTACAATGCAAAGGCAATTTAGCAGGTCGACGCCCAACAGCGCCTGCGCTGCAGAGAGGCCAGAAGCAGGGAACAATCGTCGACCATCGTCCATCCACCAATGCGTTATGTTAGGCGACAACATCAACATTTCCGTTGAAAACCGGGTGTGGTAAAAACTTGGCAAGGGGAATCTGGGTCCTGGTGGAAACGGGTCGTGGTCCTTGGAGCGTTCCTCGGGTCCTAACTCTACACCTGGAACAATTGTCGTCCAAAGAGGCTTGCCGAAAGAATTCAATCTCAAATCCTAGAACAGGAATTCAATATCAAATCATAGAACTGACCTGAACCCCCCCCTTGTCAATGATGCCCTGGCACATTCTGGGGTATGGCGATCAATTGCTTGGGTATGGCAACGTGTCCGTTAGGCATGTCAGTGGGTGTCTTGAAGCTCCTCGGATATGGCAACGTGCCGCTTGGGTATGGCAATGGATGCCCTGGGTGTGGCAATGGAGTCCAAAGGGGTCCAACGAAGTCCAATGGAGTCGTCTAGGTATTTCAATGAAGTCCGCTGGGATGCGCTGGAGTCCTATTGCGTCGTGGGATATTTGAATAGAGCCCCATGAAATCTTATGGGGACCGATGGAATCCGTTGGACCATCCGAGCCCCATGCAATCCACTGAAGTCTAATGCAGCAATCATACGGGGAGTTTAATTGAGCCGTATGGAGCCATGTGTAATCAAGATGAGTTCAGTCGTGCCAATTTTCGAATGGTGTTCGAGGAAGCCATATGGATGCCTGAAGTGCAATGGGGTCAAATGTAGTCAGACCAATGGGCATTCGGATTGAGCAATACGGCCACTAAAAAGAAATCCAGCGCCCTCACAACGCCGGAGGGAAACGGACTCTGCACACCCGCGCGGGCACAAGCAGAGGGTGCTGCAACCTCGAACGGCCACAAGGAAGATGTGCTGCGCACCCAGAGCGCCAATTGAGATTCTGCACCGCCAGGGAGCCAGAGGAAAACTGTTCTGTAAAATGAAGCGGCCAATGCAATACCGACCCCCTGCGGGCGACAATGCAAGATCCCCTGCGGGGGACACTCCGACAAACTTCAATACGATATCATGTAATGCCCCCTGCGGGGAGCAATGCAGTACCCCATGCGCGGGAAAATGCAATACCCCCTGCGGGGGACAATGCAATACGCCCTGC